CTGGGGACAAAGGACAGAAATTAGCCTTCCCTGCTTAGGCTGGCCCCTCTTCCTCCCACCGAAGCGGAAAAAGCAGTGGAAACTCTGCCCTGAGCATCTATGCCATGTCTCAGACTCCTATCTCTGATACTCTCCCCCATGAACTGGAGCCAGTGTTGTGGTATAAGATATATAGAAGGATATTTTAGGTCCTGGAGATAATTTCATTCTTGGTTTCCCCAGCATAGATTTGGGGCAATGACTCTGTGAGTGACTGTTGTTGGCAGGGACAAGATGTGAGCACATCAGGAAAGGAACAAACTCATGTAAAGTTCTTGAGTCTGTGGCATGAGAAGTAGGGACTTGCTTATGGCGAGGTTGGGCCCCTGGGAGGGAAAGTCAGTTACAGTAACATACAGTAACATAACACAACAAGCTGAAGCATCTACTTCAAAGTTACGATTCCCGTGTCTAGGAGTGCAGCATTGTGTACCATTGGTGTTCGGGGTGTGGTTGGAGCGCTTTATCATGATGTCCAGGTTAGCTTTGTCCACAGCTATGTTGGCCAAGGCACCCTGGGCCTCAAAGCTGGCAAAACGTCCAAATTCTTCCAGCCTCCACACTGTCTCCTTCTTTTCCATATCCACGTGGAAAATCTCATCACCATCGAAGTCAAACATGAACTCTCCTGATGGGTCAGGCGTCAGATAGAACTCAGCCTGGATGATCACATGGTCCTCTGAAAAGGCAGGGAAGAGAGTTAAAGTTGGAACCAGGAGAGGGAGAGGAAGAAGAACCCAGGATGTGAGACAAACATGTGGGCGGGTGTGGGGGAACGATATGGAGTGGGGCTGTATGAGTGAATGAGTGATGGAGAGTGGGGAGGAATAGGAAGATGAGACTCAGGTGCAGGACATCCGTGTTGAACAGAGCTGGCAGGGGAGAAGTAAAGGGGCAGAGTTAGAGGGCGTGGACTGAAAGAAGTGAGGCCTGGAAACCCCAGAGTCTTGTGAAGCTATTAGGCTCCAGGTTACTAGCCGAGAAACGATCCCCTCTTTGGAAATCCAGCAGCAGCTCCCAAAAGAGAATTGCTCACTCAGTGTATTTTCCCAGGCATTAAATACACTGCAGCCTTAATTCCAGGGGATCTCTCAGGGTACTGCAGCTCTAAGAAGGGGGAAACACTGTTTAGAGGGTGGCTTTAGGACTTTGGAATCAAACAAAATTTTGAAATCTCTCTTTTTGTTCAATGGAGATAAAAATGGCATACAAGATGACATTAATTTTACATATGTAACAGAATTATTTGCTATGTATACATATGTAATGCAATTCATATCAGCATACCTGATCAGCATACTTCCCCTCCCTGGAGTAGATTGTTGCTTTTGGGGGACTTTCCTCTATACTGATCCTCAATATAATATCTGTGCTCAAAATATGCTGACAGGATTCACATGCCAAAAAATAACTACTGTGCATTCAGCTAAGTACAGGAGCTGAGAAGTTTTCATATTTTTTTCTCATTTAATCCCCACAAAATTCTGTGAGGTTTAAAATTTTGATTGCACTAATTTTCCAGAAAGAAACTGAAGCCCAGACAGTAACTTGTTAATGCTTCTCAGAACATATTTTCCACCTCAAGTCTGGTTTCTCTCAAAGTCAATGGTATTAGTCAATATAGAACTCAGTTTTTGTTCCTCTAAACTAAACGTGACTGACTTCAATTTGTGGTAAAGACAAAACTCCTCCAGACTACAGTTTATTATACTTTCAGATTTATAACCACACAATACCTGTCACACTTTTCTTTCATTCCAAAGACAGTTTTGCAAATGTCCACCATTCATCTCTCCAATGCTCTAAGAGATTATATCCCTAGTTTTGCTTCTCTCGGCACCTACCTTTGATAGCCCAGGATTCTTGAGGACGCATCAGGAAAACCATGATAAAAGATCCTAGCACCACGACTCCATTAATGGCCATTTTCTTCTTGGGGGCTTTAATGGGGGTCAGTAGAGCATAAGACTGGGGTAAAACTGACAAGACTAGAAGAAAAGAGAATAGAATCTGACATTAAAATTCAAATCAGTTGAGCTCCAGCCAATCAGAAAGAACTTCTGAGATGACACATCTGTTACTAAGGAAAGGGCTTTTTAAATGGTTCAGGAACAGAATTACCTCACTCATTAAAGAAGTAAAGTTCTTAAACAATCAAATAAACATGCAACCAAATAAAAACACAGAAAATCCTCTTTTTGAGAAGGTTGGGAAGTCACTCACAGACTCTCCCATCCCAGCCCAAGTTCTAGAAAGAGATGTACTTGAAGCTTAATAGTGAGGATAGAATGAATGGATAGATTCAAAAGTGAGAGGTAGTAACAGGTCATTCCTTTGTGCTGTGACAGCTGGGGAGTTTAAATAAGGAATAATAAATCATCTAAAGAGAAGGCAAATTGTCCTGCTATGGGGAATGCCTGATTCTTGGCAGCAGTGGGTGACAGAGCTGCATGTCAGAAGCTTCTTACTGCTCTAGGTTTGTCCTCCACTGTCCTAGACTCCCAGATGGCCAACTTGGCCCAAGAGCAGGGCATCCCTGGCACTGTGCTATATTGAGAGAACATCAGAGGAGAAACTCTGAGTGTCAACACTCCCCCAGCTGGGGAAAGATGGTAGAGACGCCACAGGTAGTGGTTCCTGGAAACAGTGGACTGTAATCCCTACCATCTTAAATATGACCAGAGATTGGAGCAGACTGCTGGGGACACATGTCATATGAGGACTCAAATCAACAAATAGGGTGGACTAAATTGGGCAGAGCTTATTTTACTGGGAGCAATAGAGATAATAACCTGCAGGAGGGCTTTACCATAACTTTCCTCATGTCATAACATTCTGAAAGTTCTCCTCATGTCATAAATCATGGAAGTTCTGATCCTAAGAATTTATTCTGATGTTCATCATTGAGAAAACTGAAAGTTAAGACACTCTGACCCTCATGTTTCTGACCATACAGTACAGTAGAAAGGAAAATTAAACCACACACAGAGAGGGCTGGAATCTGAATACTTCCAATATAGAGAGACCTGGCAGCGAGGCA